CAACAGCAATAAAAACACTAGCATTTAACAACAAAAATACTTATTACTGGTACAGCAAGTCACTATTAGATGGTTATCAGCATCCTTTCCCACTTCCAGAGCAAGGCCAGGCGTTCCTAGCCGCTCCAAGGGAAGCTTAAGGGATTCTCTGGCCCAAACTCCCTGGAAGCGTCTAGGAACACCTGGCCTACGCAGGATACCACTTCCCCGACTCACACTCAGCTATCTGTGTGTCAAATTAAAATATTWTAAGTGACCTCACCCTTCTTTTTTAGGAGGTATTGGTACTCGTCCTCCCCTGTCCAACATTGATTCAACTTTAACAACCTTCAGACTAATTGTAGGTGACCTCCAAATCTCTTCAAGTTTGCTTCTGAATAAATTGGGTTGTGTTTTATTAACCAAAAAATYATCTATATTGAAGTTCTTAATGATGAACTCGGCTACAAACTGCGGTGGCTCTGAAATGACAACAAAAGGCTTTCAAAGGCTGAGGTTTTATGACATATATACCTACTTGCAGAAATGTTGTCATAGAAAATAGAACATTTGAATTTAGAGAAAAAGGAATTAATTAAAACAAGACAAAAGAAAGTGTTCAGCCTCAGTGATCTTCCTTTGTGTTTTTAATTTATTCCTTTTTACTAAATACAAATGTCCTATTTCCTATGACAACGTTTCTGCAAGTAGTTGTATATTCACATATTTTGTGTTTTAGAAAATCATTGCCATAATCAATGTACAACATTACAGCTTTATCATTATCATAGAGTATGAACCATAATTATTCATTTGATATCAGTCATGAAAAAGCGATTTTTTTTKGTGTGTGAATATTTTACCTTTTGAACTATCAATAACAATGTTGATATTCCGTCTTTTTGTGGCATAGTCTCGTTTATCCCATCCAGTGATCTACATGGCAAATAAAGCAACAAAATATTTCCCTATAAACTGAAAATTGCATCTAAATAGTGAATTAAGAACTTTTTTTTTAATGTTGCACTCATAAACCTCAAGAGATCTATAGATAAGTTTTAGATACTATTGTGTATAACTTCCTATTAAGGTTTTTGAATTGGAATATAATTAAGCTTATATTATATTGATTGTAATGGCAGCAGATATGAGCTAACAAAATCTCGACAGTGAAGTCAGATGGCCTTACCTCTAGTGTTAGGTTTCCTTGACTATCAGGGGGAGGGGTACCATAGATAATTGCATCGTCAGTGGGAGTATCTTGCTCAAGACGAAGCCACTTTGGTAAGTCCGGGCCACCAAATTTGGATACAGTGAACTTGATATAATTGGGAAATGATTCTAAATTAAAACAAATATATTGCAAATCAGAGTGATGATATTTTAAATCTTGTATACAGATGCAAAGCATGGATTCCAATGCTGGTAGCACATGCAAAGTTTGCATCTTTGCATAACACTGCTTCGAAAAGGCTGTGGGTTTTTTTAACATCCAACCTTGCACACTTCTACATTTTATAATGTTCTTTCTTACCATCAGATGCAAATTTTTCTTTTGATAATGTATAATCAAAGAACACTCCAACGGACGCTGCTTGGTTTGGCAAGTCTTGGCTAATGCAACAGGTCAAATGTAGGAAGGATATTGAAAGTACTATGAACATAAGAAAAATCAAGTTTATGTCCTAAGATACATGTAGAGGATAGTCAACTGTTGAAGCCGTGCATTGTAGCTCTGAATTCAGTAATTACTTGTAAATATCAGCGGAGGTCGTATCATATTTGAAGCTCAGTGCCCTCAGATACTATAGAAACACATAATTTGATCATTTACATCTAAATCTACAGYTAAAATCATGACAATAATTTCCTCGAATGGCAAACACACAAACAGCTGATAATTTCTAAAACTATTTGTTCTCGATAACAACTAACTCTTTWGGTCCAACTTTACTTACCTAGAAATACGTGAAGAACCATTATAACGCCTAGCCACTACACATTTAATAATCTAAGTCAACAATCGAGGTCTTGAGCAACAAATTTAAGTTGATGTGTACTGTATAAGTTATATTTGCCCTGAAATCGCTCAAGTGCAGACAACTGGAACGCAAACAACGCCAAGAACCTTATTCGGTATCAAAATCAAGATAATTTTATAGCTTGGATACGAAGGAGAATGTSAACGAGATCAAGGATATAAMTGTCCTTAAAAACGTTGAAAAAGTAAAGGAAAATGTYACATTTCACGACATTTTGAAGTTTCAAACCACAACCAAAACAACGCCCATGGGATACTCCGCTGTGCGTAACGTACACGGGCGCTTGATAAACTTCACTGAATCTTTTTTGAAAGAATATCAGAAATATTATTTCAGTRGCCCTTTTTAGCCAGGACATTTCAGAAATGAAAACACAAAAATTATTTAGCTTTCCAATGAAAAATCCATAAGTCTTTGAATARTAGGAACTCCTGTACATCAAATACAAATTTTTTTCGTAGTGGAATAAAGATGGAGTATAAACTATCCAAACTTAAAATACGTTGATGTATATGCTCTATTCGTTCTTTTCTTTCTTTCCTGTCTTTCTTTCTCCTTTTTTCGCTTATTTAGAAATAACTCCCAGAAGTCTTTGCGGGGCCCCGCTCGCTCCAATTTCCCGGATGTCRTGCCTTCCCTCGTCCTTTTGCTTCTGTTGGCTGTGCAACAAACAGTTGGTAAAAATTGGTAGGGTTGRAAAAACTCATCCACACAGCCATCAGCTTACAATCGTATAAAATCTTTACGTAACAATGCCTCCTAAGTTCGACCCAAATGCTATTCACATCGGTAAGATGGTTTTTGTGTGTGAAATTTGAAGAAATGTGTAAGTACTCAGAGAAAATTTCACGTGTATTTTAGTGTATCTTCGATGCACCGGTGGTGAAGTTGGTGCTACTGCCTCTCTTGCCCCCAAGATTGGTCCTTTGGGATTGGTAAGTATCTCTTGTGTGCCTGCCTTTGTTATCTTTGATATGTAACCCACAAATATTTAAATTTGAAAGCAAGTCTTAAAGTTTAGCTATTTTTCTTTTAACAATAAAATAAGTTATAAGTTGTTTTGAAAATTTACCAGTCATGATATCCAGAGAATTTTTTTTAAACAAATTATGGATTCTGAAACTTTCTTTACCTACAGGATTTCATAGTTTTGATGATAGATTTGTACAAATTTGTACTCTAAAATTGGTTAGTAACCATGTTTAAAACATAGTTTAGAAATATGGTTTGCCACTTGAGCTTATGAAAAAAGGAGAATT